AGAATTGCATTTTGTGCCCTTAGCATTTAAAATCACATTTCACAAAAATGACGACTTGACCCCTTATGTTACTGAGGTTGCGATATATACAATTAAAAAAGTGAAGGAATAAGAGTTAATGTAAACTAAAGGTATCTCGGATGTACCGTACCATTTCAAAATTAATACTTAGAACGGGACACGAGAAAAATACCAGACTCAGTCTTTAGCAATTTTAAAAGTTCTGTTTTTAAACAGTTTCATCACATCACATCAACAGCCTGTAATAGTCCACTGCTGGACATAGGCCTCTCCTTAGAAATGAGGTTTTGGCCTACTATACCACGCTGGCCAGACGGGTTGGTATAGGGTTTGTGTCAAGTTTTCCTTCTTTTTGCAGAGCTGGTGTCCTGCGTTGTTTTGCACCCTTAGTCGACTCTTACGACACCCACGGGATGAATTGGGGTAATGACATTCCGTATTCTTAATCCGTCACTACACGGACAGTTTGACACTGCAAAATTTGCAGTGTCAAGTTGTGTAAAAAGCTTTACAGTGCATTGTAGATCACCAAGCTGCAAGGTGTTAAGACTCTTCTTTTCTGACAGATGTTTCTTACAAGGTTTTTAAATTGCAAAGCTGAACTCATTATTTCATGATTTAACTGACTTCAAAAAGAAGAGAATGTTATTCGGTTGTATTTTTAAATTTGTTCTAATAAAACACCGTCACTTGTGACGCGTTTTGGCAAAAAAAAAATGGAAATTTAAATAGGTATGTTTAATTTAAACAAAACTTAATACTTACCGCTGGGAGATTAAGGAATGAAATAAAAAAAGTTGGTTTTGTTGGGTTGGGTGCATGTTGTCAATAGTAAGAAGCACCCCACGCGTTTTTTTCAAATTTATTAAAATTTATTTTCTATTTTTTAGTTTGTGTTCTATAAAAAGCGTGTTTTTTAGTTTTTTTAAACAATTGTTAATATTTTTTAATATTATTTATTTTTATTCTTTATTTTAAATTATTGTATTGTCATAGGTCCTCGGTAAATCTACAAAGTTTGAACGAATTCTGACCGTTCAAAGTTAGTCAAAATCACGACCAAAGGAGTCGGTTACAAACAAACATACAGGTGAAGCTAATAATAAAAGCGTGTAAAAATGAAGTCCATGATGCTGTAGGAACATTATAGTGATTACGGCGATACATATATATTATTATTAATATGGCGATTAAAAATAAGACGCAAAACCACATAATGTACCATTTATTTCAACATCAATAAATGCAACTTTATTTGAACTAACAATCATACTTGCTATTTACATGTTAATATGAATTATATTTACAATATAACTTTGGCGTTAACGTAATATTTATATATCTGACTTTAGAGTATTCTCATAGGACCGCCCCTTCTATGAAGGGATTACTTAAGCAAAGGTTTATTTACAAGGGCCACACGAAATTTTGTTAAAAAAGGGGTTGATTCGACTACAAAAATATGACGTATTAATTATTTTGAAGGCGTAAGAGATCAATATTTATGTAAATTACCATAATAATAACATCTAAGTAACTTTACAAATTATAGTCCACAAAATTGTGGGTGTTTACCTCTTTGGGGATAAAAGACGTGAGTGGATGTGTCTGTCATCATCATCATCATCAAAAGCCTTTAACAGTCCACTGCTGGACATAGGCCTTTCCTTATAAAGGAGGGTTTGGACTACTATACTACGCTGGCATGATGGATTAATTCTTCGTTTGGTTGGTATGTATCTAAATATGTTTCTGTTAAATAAAATATTTTAATACGAACATCAAAATGTTATTTACGTTTTAATGTTATATGTAATACAAATTCCTCAATTATTTTAGAAATATACCTACATTCGTGTTGGATTTGAAAATCGCTGCCTTAGCGATACGCGACTGCAGTCCCTGAGGCCTTGGATTCGTTTCTCGGACCGGGCAAAATTTTAAAGGGTTTTTCTAGAAGGAAAAACAGCCTAAGTTACTCCTTATACAGACAGCTACCTGGTAGTAAAATATTATCCAATTCGGTCACACCGTTTTCAAGATTACCCGGAACAAACAGACAGGTAGACAGACAGCCAAAAATGCTTAAACTGAGCATGAAAAAACCTATTACTGTGACATTACAAACAGACACTTCAGTTTATTAGTCAACTATCCTTTGTTCGCAGCTTCATGCGCGTTTAAGTTATTTCTCTAATTCTCAGGTATACGACTTTCTTTGGGATAAGAGATACCCCTCTTTCCTTTACGGTGTCCTTGACAACCTACGTACAAAACTCAAATATACAAAACCTATATAAAAAAGAAAATATTTTCGCGACTACAATATTATTTAGGACTAGCTGAGACCCGCGGTGTTACCCGCGTTTGTTGTTATAACCGCGGGCAACGCAGCGGAGCGAAGCTAGCCTAAAAAAAGTAGCCTAATTTACTCCTTATGCTATCTGCTATCTGCCAGTGAAAGTCCCGTCGAAATCGATAAAGCCGTTCCAGAGATTACCCGGAACAAACAGATAGACAGACAGTAAAAAATGTTATTTTGGCATATGTACCGTGTAAACATACATATGCATTTAGTAAAAAGCGGTTATTTTAATATTACAAACACACACTCCAATTTTATTTGTATAGATACCGTACAACTGTGTAGAGGACGTCGGCGACGATATCAGCCGCCGACAGGGCCCCGGGCCGCCAGAGTGTGGGGACCTCTGGTGGCAGATTGAATGCTGCGGTATAGGATGGGATGGTGGCCTGATTGCATTAAGACGCATTTGGGCCGCCACGTCGCGATTGAGGGGGGGAAGTGCTTTTCCCCTGGGATAGGGCCTGATTAGGCATGGTGTCAATTCGTTGAGGACCTGAAATAAGATGGTCCTGGGGCACCTGAGGCTGGCTGTCTGGTGGTTTTTAGTGGAATCACCACATACTCCTGGCTTCTAAGTCCCCGATGAGCAGGAGATCCTTTCAATAACACATGTTTTTTTCTACTGTAGCTACAAAACAAACTAAATTCTATAAATATTTCAGCTTTTAATAACGAAACAATAAAATCCGTCTCAATAGGAATGAGAATCAACAGATTTTAGATCTCTCGGTTTTCAAACCCACGTAGACAAAGCTGTCGTCCACAGCTGCGAACTGGGCTGAACTTTTTATCGTAACAGATAATGTCAGAATATTAACAATACAGAACAGACTACAAAACATTTATCAGGCTTTAAATTTACCTTTTGTTTTATATGACTTTTAAAATAATATAGGCCTTACATTATGTTCAACAATTGAGAATATTTCCAAAATCAGGCTTTCTGAGGATGTTGGTATAAGAGGCGGCAGAACGGGAATGGGAGAGTTCAAGCATTCTTCTATCTCGCAGTAGGCGTACCAAGAGGCGCCGGAGAGCTCAGAATGATCTCCGACATCCATGCACGCACGAAGCAGGCCGAACTGACTGTTACCCTTGCAGAAGCAGGGCTGAGACGGATACGTGACGTGTACCTTCCACTCCTTTCCGATCTTCAGGGCGGTTAGAATCTCTTTTCTCCACGACTCACTTGTGACGAAACACTGTGTAATTTTAATTGATTCGTGTCTGATGTATCGCTTAACACTGAATGGTGAGGCGACGGCCCACGTGGATATCACCAACTTTTGTAAATTAAATTTTGAGATGGATTTACAAATTTCAAACATTTTTTTGTATGTACTAAGCGGAAATAACGAAATCAGCTTTTCAGAATTAATTGAGTCCTCGCCTGCGGGGTACAGGGGCGCGGAGGTAGGACGAGATCGGGGACCGGGAGAGTTGCGGGCGGCGCGGCGGGCGCTTAACGAAAAGAAACTGTAGGACTCAATTAAGTGGGTATCTTTAAATGAATTTTGATGATATTTAATATAAGTAATATGTCACAGTTAGAAGCTTTGGTTATTAATTGTTTTAACCTAATTATTCTACAATTATTAATTAGTAGATACCTTTATAACTTATCTCATATAATTATTAATAAGAACTAGTGACACAGTCGCATAATTTAGTACTACATATAATTTTACTACTTAATTATTTACAGTTAGAATTTATTGCTTTACAATAATATACTACAAGAACATCACAACCACAGGGAAAATTAGGTAGAATTGGAAAATGTGGAAATGTATGCATAGAATTTTGGATCTTATTACATTTTAGAAATAAGCTCCAAAATTCTTTACAAAGATACGAGTACACGTGTAGTTTGTTTACTTTGGCCGGGCATTGTCGACATTTTGATTCACATCACACACAACAAAAGCCTTTATTTGTGTACTGGTGGACATAGGCCTCTCCTTAGAAAGGAAGTATGGTTACATTTTGATTATACTCGATATAAAAAAGTAAGAATTCTTAAGATAGTATACGCAGTACGCGTGTCATACACATACTAAGCCAAAGCACACTATTTATTATATATTTACTTTTGTTTTATTTCAAGTTGACTCAATCCCTACTTACTGAACACTTACTTTATTAAAATATTGCATAAATGGTTCATTTAATAGTCAGGTCGAATCATTTTCAGAGATATATCATTACCATTATAAGTATTTTGTTTTTAAATTGTCTTTTTTCAAACTATTAATATTACGTAATACCGGATTGACATTACGTAAAGATCTAACAGACTTATGGCGGTCTGACAGATCCTTAGCGGTGTGAAAATTTTTGAGTGGCTTGAGAGACATTCAGCAGTTAAACAGCAATATACAGACACATTTACATAATAGTTAAGTTAAGTTTTATACTAATGGAAGTTACATACTCGTACACGGCACACTTAAGTATAACAGACTTTGCCAAGAAGATCATTAGAAACAAATCTTTAAGATTCATAGTAGAAAGTCTAATTTTCAGTGTAGTTTCAAGCGTAATATTTTACCACAATTTTTTGAGCAAGTCTATTAGTTTTTTAGTCATACACTACGTAATAGTCCACGGGCTAGGTGCCGCAATGTAGTATCTTCCTAAATGCCTTTCGGAATTCAGGGTTGAAGATAGTGTAGATGACTGGATTCAGGAAAGAGTTGATGTAGCCCAACCACGTGGTAAGAATGAACACCGTAACTCCAGGGGAGTATGGAAGGCCAAACTTGGAGCACATAGCGTCAAGGACGGAGCAGGTGAAGAATGGCGCCCAGCAGAAGAGGAAAACTCCTGGAAAATAAGAACAGGTATTAGTTTGAAGATCTAAGATAATTTCGAAGATCTAAAAGCTTTATATTTCTCGCTCTAACAGTATGAGGCGCTAGTGAGGTAGGTAGGTACAATGCCTCTTTAATGCTGTTGGTGAATAAGGTTAAATATATTATTATAATGTTGCTTCCGGACTGCACGGATGGCGTAGTGGTTTAAGCGGTCGCCACGCGTGCCGCTTACTACATGGGACGACACTTTCTGTCACAAATTGTTGTTCTGAGTCTGAGTGTTCTTTCTGTCCGTTTCATGTATGTTTGAAAAGACCCCCGCGACAAAGGATGTACTCCTAATGCGGGAGTTGTCTTTAAAAAAAAACTATGCATATGCGTAAAGAGAATTCATTGAAACATGGAATTTTTAAAGTTTAAACTTTATGTACCCATAGAAGAAATGCAGAAAACTATTTTAAAATATAAATAAATGTGTTACAAATTATTATATTATGTTTAAGTGGCTACATCACCTTTAAGAATTTGCTTTTTACCGAAAAGACCGCCATTTCTACATAGTCATTAATTTGATGTACTCTTGTATGTATAATGTACTAAACTGGTGTACCATAAAGTTTCTTCTATTCTATTCTACATTAACTATGTATGCATGTCTAAATAACTATTGACAGTTCCAGTATACCATTATGAATTATAGCTAAAAGTCAAAAACAGGAGATCACCAGTACATTTATAAAAAATCTACTACTAGTCAGTACTAAATCTGTGGTGGCTTGTTTATTATTCGAGATACCTCTTAACTACGTCATAAATTAATAATAAAAGAAGAAACCAGAACAAATCCTCAGTAAATATTTTTCTCTTAAGTTTGCTTACATTTCTTATCTAATAAAAAGATATTTCTTTAGAAGCAAGCTGTGTAAGTCTTGAAAGCCTTGGTTTTAAATAGGGCTTGAATTCACGAATTTTCGCATCGCAGTGCCTCCCCAGAGTATTGCGAACATTTATCAGAAGTAAAAATAATAAGACTTGAACAAATATTTTCGAAGTTTAAGCAACAGGTATAAGATTCTAAATGACTATTATGCGTCAAATTCAAAGAAATTTTTTCATATATATTCAAATTTTAGGAACGTTATGTGAAGAAATCGTAGATGTAGCTGGAATGAAGAGGATTATGATTCTTTTTAGTTTATGATGAAAAAAAAAATTGCCAGAGAAAATATTAAATAAAAATATTATCTTTCTACATTACTTTGTTTTTGCACAAACAAAGACTAAAAGCAAAACAGAATTCAGTTCATTTAAAGTTGATAAGTCCTCGTCTTGTTTTCAAGGAGGAATTTCAGACGAACAAAAGTTGATTAAAAATAAGAGCAATTTATCACATCAAGAGCCTTTTACCACTGCTGAACATAGGCCTCTTCTTAGAAATGAGGTTTTGGCCTACTATACCACGCTGGCCGTCTGGCCTTGGCCGTGTCTTGACACGGCAAACTTGACACAAATCCTACACCAACTTGTCAAAGTTGGTGTAGGGTTTGTGTCAAGTTTTCCTTTTCTTTGCAGTGCTGTTGTCCTGCGCAGTTTGTCTTAATTTGTTTTTAAGATTATTAACACTAGACTATACTCCTAATATATTTTTCTTTTCGGTCATAAGAAAAAAGATTTCTTCATAACTGTTTTCCGAAATGTTTTAACTGTTTGGAAATGTAACTTAGAGAGCTAATACTCACCTAATACAATGGCAAGTGTCTGTGTAGCCTTCTTCTCTTTCTTAGCGAAGGACTTAGCGCGCAGCTTGCCAGCTCTGTTGGCCCTGAAGATGGTGAACCTGGCCGCTGATGCCGCACTCCTGAAGCGGCGTCTAGGAGTGGATATCAAGGAGCTGCTGCTCAACCGGCTAAGTTTCTTTCTGTGTGCATAAAATTTTATTAGTTTAGTAGATGATAATATTGCCCAGAAACTTATCTTTAAAAAAGTAATAGAATATACATATATATATATATATATATATATATATACGAGTATCTCACACACGGCCGTCTGATCCCAAACTAGGTAGAGCCTGTGCTATGGTAATCAGACTGCTGATAAACATAATTATATAATTTACACCCAGACACAGAACAAATGACCGTGCTCCTCACACAATATTTGTCCTGTGTGGGAATAGACCCTACGACCCGGAGGTAGTGGGGTCGCTAACCACTAGACCAACAGGCCCGTCAGACCAATAGCGTAAACAATATTTTTTTACTTATCATCACTTCACCAGGAGTTTTGCGAAAGTGGTGGAACAAAAATATATATTAACCTTCTATTGTGGGTAGTTGTGTAATTAAGGTCAGCTTAGTCTCTAATATCAGGGTTCGTAATAGGAATTAATAGGCACCTTAGGGATGTCATGATTTAATATTGAAATTGTTGAACTTGAGAAAAGCTTAGGTTATTACTTAAATTTTATGTAAAGCGTCCGTCCGAAATACGGCTAGCGCTGTTGGTTAGAGTGAGAGAGGAGGAGCCTGCCTACCGCTGCCGTATGCATGAGAGAAAGGGAAGCCAGACAGACTAGCGCCGTAACACGTTACGTAACGAAGCGGTTTACCCTCCCATAAGAAGTTATCACTTCAATAAAAAAAACCTGTAGGACAACTCGATGGTCGGTGTGTCCATGTTCGAAATCCAATATTCGGTTTCTCATCTCATACTCTCGCAAAATGGTCCGTTGAAAATGGTCGACATTGTGTATGTATACTGGTCTAACTTGAAGATTGTTACAATTTATTATGAAGAGAAAAAATAAAAATGAAGTAATACCATAAATTATAGAACTTTACAAACAACAGCGAGAAAAGTTGAGCCCTTAGACCCTGAAAAGCCTTTTCTTAACCTTTCCTTCTTACAGCAATTTGTAAATTATTTTAAAGATTTTGAATAATTGGGCTTAAACGTCAGAAAACTAACAATTCGGTATTTAAAGTGTACAGATAAACCTTGTTAAAACAGAAATTATTCCTCAAAGTATAACCTATTGTACACTCACCAACACAATACATAAGGAAGTAAATTTCTTTAAAGACTATGCTATGTTCTATGCCAATAGAAGTTTGCGGATCGCTAACAAATTCTATATTTTTGTATAGTTAAAATACTGGTATAGGCTGGTGTTTCTAAACCCATAATTACAATCATCATCATCAACAGCCTATAATAGTGCACTGCTGGACATAGGCCTCTCCTTAGAAAGGAGGTTTTGGCCTACTATACCACGCTGGCCAGACGGGTTGGGATAGGGTTTGTTTCAAGTTTTCCTTCTTTTTGTAGTGCTGGTGTCCTGCGCAGTATGTTCCAGTCGGCTCTTACGACACCCACGCGATGAATAGGGGTGGTGACATTCCGTACTCTTAATCCGTCACCACACGGATACACAATACAATAGGACTTAAATATGAAACATTCCTACTTTATATTTTTCCCTTTTAATGAATATTGCACTACTTACCTTCTACTAGCCCTACTTGTAATCTAAATGTTTATTTAAACATTAAAAACCTTTAATTGCCCTAGTTCTCTTACAGCCTGAATAATATATTCTAAACATACTAAAATAATAGTTAACGTAACGCAAAACTAACAACCTAAGTTAAATAAATTCATAACATTAGAGAACCTGAAGAAACACAATCCGAAAATTGGTTTGTTAATGTTGTATAGCTCTTATCCTTTAGAATATATTTAGTTTAATTTCATAGTTCATTATTGATATATATATATATTTACGAGCCTTGCCCGAGACTTCGTCCGCGTAGTGTTCGACATCGTATTGGATACAATGGATCAAGATTATATGTATAAAAGAAGATCAAATCGATAAGTTAAAAAAAATAGTATGCATTAACTATACAAACTTGCACCCCTTGTTGTCAGGGTAGTTTTGAAAAATTGTAACAACATATTTTTTACATTAATAAAAAGTATTTACTGCAAGTTTAAAAATGCAACCACCAAAAACAAAAGCCGGTCAGGTACGAGTCGAACTCGTGCGCCGAGGGTTCCGTACCTACCCAGATTTTAAGTAGATTTTCGCGAAAATTTGTAGGTACCAAAATTTATCTTAAATTTCAACTTTTTTTATTTTTTGGAATTATTCCTTTATTTGTGCTGTAAGACTTTTCCTTCGACCAAATTTCGTGATTCTAGGTCAACGGGAACTACCATATAGGTTTTCAACCCAAAACCTAGGGGGTATTTCCGGTTGACCTAGAATTGTCAATTTTGGTTTAAAGGCAAGGTCTTACAGCACAAATAAAGAGAAAAATCTGAAAAATAAAAAAAGTTTAATATTAAGAGGTAAATTTTGGTACTTACAACTTTACGCGAAAATCGAAATTTGCCCATATCTTTTTATCGTGTTGACTCAGAACCTTGATTTTTATACAACTAATAGAGATCATAGACCTCAGTATCTGGTATAAATTTCAACTTGAGAATATCGGTGGTGACACACGGACAGACGGACAGACCGACAGACCGACGGACGGACCCGCCACTGTCTGTCACCCCGCGAGACGGTCGCGCACGAGATTGCCGGGTTATAGCTGAGACCCGCGGTGTTACCCGCGTTTGTTGTTATATCCGCGGGCAACGCCGCGGGGCGAAGATAGTCTAAAAAAAATAGCCTAAGTTACTCCTTACGTCATCAGCTATCTGCCAGTGAAACTCCCGTCGAAATCGGTCCAGCCATTCCAGAGATTACCCGGAACAAACAGACAGACAGACACACAGACAAAAATTGTAAAAAATGTTATTCTGGCATATGTACCGTGTAAACATACATATGCATTTAGTAAAAAGCGGTTATTTTAATATTACAAACAGACACTCCAATTTTATTTATTTGTATAGAAGATATAGACATAGATTATGTTTTCATTAATTCTACACACATCTACGCGTAATCGTTTTTTTTTTAAATAAAACAACAAAAGCAAGTGAGGCCCCTCATCAACAGAATTGATTGCGTGATTAAATCAGACTAGTTCATCGTACAATGTGAAACATTTAAAATGGTGTAATCCCAGGGCTACTTCAAATCAAATTTGTTTAACATGTGTGTAATAGAATACAATCAATCTGATTACATGTCTAGACTGAATACATATAAGAAGCTTTGTGTATTATAATTTCTATATTAATGAACACAATTTTTATATACTTCTAATTTATTATTAGTTAATGTTAAACTCTTATGTTTGTTTGTTTTATAGAATAGAGGGACAAACGAGCAGACAGTTCACCTAATATAATGTTTTCACACATCTCATACACGGATGTCTGATCCTAAACTAGGCAGAGCCTGTACTATGGTACCCAGACTGCTGATAAATATACTTATGTATTTCTAAATATATACATATTATAGATAAAGTACACCTAGACCAGAACAAATGACCGTGCTCATCACATAATTATTTGTTGTTGGAAATCTAACCCACGACCTTTCGCATAGCAGTCAAGGTCACTAACCACTACACCAAGGTTTCCCAAACTTTTTTGGGCAAGAGACCCCTTTTCTAAAATGACCTGATACCTCAGAGATTTGCCTATGGGGGCATAGGCAAATCTCTGCACGCTTATCGACTTGTTGGGTTTTTTAAAAGTACCACAATGATACTTCCTACTAAAATATTAGTCATTCTTGTAACAAGTTGCTATACCAACTGCAATTTGAAACTAATGAAAGTATCTTGATGGACTTAATTTAATTCTAATAAAACCAATGTTAATTAAAAGGAATCGATTTTCAGACCTCGTTGACCACCAAAATCAATTTCTGTTTATGTCGACCCCTGAGAAACGACATCATATCGACCCCAAGGAGTCAATATCGGCCACTTTGGGAATCTCTGCACTAGACCCACAGGCTATTGTGTGTGTTGAACTGTGACTTTAGAGTCCCATTAAACGATGATTTCAAACATTTTTTTTATTGAAATTAACATACTTTGAGTTTGAGAGTGAGAAGTTTGGGTCTTTGGTGATTTCACTTACTTAGTGGAAAGCAACGAAACACTTGCTTAATACCAGTTTTCTGTGATGCTGTGGTATGACTCCGGTCGTGACGGCCTATTTGTGCCGCAAGGCTCTCCCACGGCTAAAAAGAAAATCATTTTTCCTCACGTGTGTATTTCGGGGATGTCGCTTTAGAGATCCGGGGTCAAGAGAGAGCTGAAGGGAGTCTTTTATCAAAGATTGAGGAATTCTGCCTCGACGATGTAAACAAGAATTTATTTTGCTTTTGTCCTTTAATTGTTTTCAATTAATAAGTTTCGATGTTCCTCTAGCACTGTTATGCTACAAATTATAATACAAAATAATTATTGTTAGTCTAATAACTCTTAACAAAGTTTCCATCAAAAGGTGTTGAAATGTTGTTGAACAAATTTCACGGTAACGCGGAGTTTAATAAGTTGACCTTAGAGAATCGGAAACCACAGACTAATTAGAGAACACAAGAGTTGGTTCTAGATATTATGTTCGGGGTATATTTTAGTTCATATAGTTACACAATAAGATATAATTGATTAGAGGGAGTAGCTTTTAAAGAAATAGTCAATTCCAGTTACAAGTACGCATCCTTACATTTCCCAATAATATATGTGCATACTATAATCTATATATATGTAAGAGATTTCCACGTATATAGTCACTCATCACGATATCTCTGGAAACCATTAGACTAAAGACTTGAAATTGGTAGGAATATTCTTTTCACATCAATCTACAGGTACGTGTCACAAAGTCATAGGCCTTAACAAACATGCATTGTTTTGTCCACGAACATTCTTAAACTTACAGCTTCATAGAAAGTATTGAATCTACCCGACTCATAACAACTTTTCACAACTACTACTAACTACTAACTAACTACGCTAATTGGGTAATATATTTTTGTTTAGTAATGTATTTTTCTCTGCAAGTGATTAATTGTAACCTTTTCAGAAAAATAAATGTCTTTAACCGTATATATTCTATCCGTGTGGTGAAGGATTAAGAATACGGAGTGTCACCACTAGAGGATTCGATCCCGGTCGATTTTTATAATCCCGGGATTTCGGGATTATCTACAGTTAATCTCGGGATCCCGGGATAGTCCCGGGATCGATTTGGCAATGGAAAGTTGTAACAAAAAGACAGTAAAACATATCAAAATATTTTTTTTGTTTATCATTTAGTTTTATGAGGACATATAATATTTAAGTTTTAAATCTCCAAATAGGTGGTTAAACAAAATTATACTTTCTTCTTATAAAAAAAAAGCAAACTAGTGCCTAGTTTGTTTTGTGTTTCGGTAAATAATTTATGAAACTAACAATAAACTTCAAAAAATCAACTTCTTTAGACTTATTTAGATAAACTATAAAAAAAAAAACTATATGCTTAAGAGACCAATGTTTATACCTACTCATATTTTTTAATTAAATTGCCCAGAAACTTTATGAATTACACACTTTTACGCATAATCCAGAACCGGTCATTAGCAAAAACAAATGAAATCAGCTGTGTAGGCAAGATGGCTGTCAAAACATCAAATCAAGGTAAGGGCGTTTCTTTTTACGCACATTTTTATTGACTTATGTAAAAAATGTATCAATCCCGAAAATGCCGGGATT